CGAAGCGTCCATCGTCTAACGGATAGGACAGAGGTCTTCTAAAACCTCCAATATAGGTTCGATTCCTATTGGACGCAATATTAAGAGTTTATTAAAACTGTTAGTTATGAGAAAAGGTATTCTTGCATACCAAAATAGACAAAAATATATCATATGACTAAATATATGCACTTTATTTATATTTGAAAGGTCATATATTTAGTCATATAACTACTTTATCTTAAATTAACGAGCAGCAGCTCCAGATTCTTCCTGTAATAAGAAAGCTTCTGTATGTTCTTGAATAGCTTGCTTCAAAATAGCTTGTGCTTCATCTGTAAAAGTTTTCTTTTCACGAATAATTTTACCAAATTCAGGTTTATTAGTCACGATATAATGACGTAATTCAGCCAAGAATCTTCTAACTTGTGCAACTTCAATTACATCTAAATAGCCATTAACTCCAGTAAAGATAGTTGCTACTTGTTCTTCTACAGCTAAAGGTGCAGCTTGAGGCTGTTTAAGCAACTCACGTAAACGTTGTCCTCTAGCTAATTGGTTTTGAGTAGCTTTATCAAGATCAGAAGCAAATTGTGAAAAAGCTTCTAATTCTGCAAATTGAGCTAACTCTAGTTTCAATTTACCTGCAACTTGTTTCATTGCTTTAATCTGCGCTGCAGATCCTACACGAGATACTGAAATACCAACATTAATAGCAGGACGAATACCAGCATTAAATAAATCAGCTGATAAGAAAATTTGTCCGTCTGTAATAGAAATTACATTTGTTGGGATATAAGCAGAGACGTCACCAGCTTGAGTTTTCAACAATAGGCAAAGCAGTCATACTACCTTCACCTAATTGATTACTTAATTTGGCAGCTCTTTCTAATAGACGAGAATGTAAGTAGAAAACGTCTCCAGGATAAGCTTCGCGTCCAGGTGGGCGTCTTAGAAGTAGAGACATTTGACGATAAGCTTGAGCTTGTTTAGACAAATCATCATATACTACTAATGTATGACGTCCTTTATACATAAAGTATTCAGCAATTGTCGCACCAGTATAAGGAGCAAGGTATTGCAAAGTAGCAGGTGAGTTAGCTGTTTCTGCTACAATTACAGTATATTCCATTGCACCACGTTCTTCGAAGGTGTTTACAACTTGAGCTACAGAAGAAAGCCTTTTGTCCAATAGCTACATAGACACAGACAACATTTTGTCCTTTTGATTTAGAATTGTATCTGTAGCTACTGCTGTTTTCCCAGTTTGACGGTCTCCAATGATCAATTCTCGTTGACCACGACCAATTGGAATCATGGCATCAATAGCAATAAGTCCTGTTTGCATTGGTTCATAAACAGAACGTCTAGAGATAATACCAGGAGCAGGAGATTCAATTAAACGATATTCAGAAGCTGGGATATCTCCTTTGCCATCAATTGGACGACCAAGTGCATTAACTACACGTCCTAGATAGCCGTCACTAACAGGAATTTGAGCGATTTTTCCAGTTGCTTTAACTGAACTACCTTCTTGGATACTCAATCCTTCTCCCATAAGTACAGCACCAACATTATCTGCCTCTAGGTTTAGAGCAATTCCAACTGTACCATCTTCAAATTCTAGTAGCTCCCCTGCCATGACTTTGTCTAGGCCATAAATACGAGCAATACCATCTCCTACTTGAAGAACAGTACCTATGTTAACAACTTTAACTTCTTGATTATATTGCTCAATCTGTTTGCGGGATTAATACTACTGATTTCATCAGGTCGAATATTTACCATGGACGTGGTGTGTAATCTTGAAAGTATAGCACCTATATATGTTCTTTTTTCTACTCAGCAGAATTTTCCATAGCTTTAAATAAGCCAATATGATAATCAATCATTCTAGCATGTAAATCCATATTCAAACGACTATTAATTACTTCTAAAGCTCTTTCAACTGCTAATCGAGAAAACTTGTTGTCGTACTTGTACAATGGCTTTTTGTTCTTCAAAACGAATAGTCATATTTTAGAATCTTCTAAACGTTTAGAATCCTCATCAGCAGCCTTGATTAATTCTTCTTTTTCTCTCTCAATTTGCAATATGCTATTAACACGGATTTCTTCTGCTTTTTCTTTTGCTTGTTCTAAACGAGCTCGAGCTTGATTTAGCTTTTCAGTCGCTTCTTGGTAACGTTTCTTCTGCATCGCGAATGGTGCTTAATATAGTTTCTTTGCGATTATTTAAGATATTAGTTAATGAAGTAGATTGCTAATCTATGCTAATGCATTAGCTTAACTATCTCTTCCCAAACCGGACATGAATCTTCTCGATTCACCCGGCTCTCTCGTTCACCCATGTGTAATTAAAGCCCGATAAGAAACATGTATATATTCTTTTTCTTGCAACTTATAGAAAAGGCAAAAAAAGACATGTTTTTTGTATCCTAAATGACTTATACACAAATGTTTGAACGTACCTTTCATTGCAAATGCGATTTCAAGGTTCTCCTGACCATTTGTTTTTGATCAGCACGGTTGTTTTCTTCGAATCACTATAAAAAATCTTAAGGTTGTCTATTTAGTATATTGTTATCAAGTGTATTTCTTGAATATATTCTGGAAGATTCTGACTGATGAATTCATTGAATGAATTCCCTTATAATCTCGATACGAGTGTTCTGTACCGAAAAATCTCCAACAAGGTTAAGATTTGTAATTATCTTATTGAGCAAAGAAAAGCTCCAGCAATACTTAGACTTCAAGCAATAGAGCCTTAACCTAGTAGATTTTTCCTCATTATAGAAAGTTAATAGTGTCTTTAACTTAATATTCAACGAAATGCTTTTGTCCATACAAAGATTCTTCTTTGTGAGTCATTCGTGAGGATCATACACTTTATAGTCAGAGTGTAGTTGGATTTTTTTCCAACCATGTCATTCAAATATTCATCCCGCACACACTCCCTTACCAAAGTAAACTAATACACCGATCACTACTGCTAAATTGATCAAATTAGTATCTAGCAAATTGGTATTGAGGCTTAGCCCCTCATTTGCCAGAGCCCAAGAATCCAACGAAGCAATCAAGTCAATTGCGCTGTTCATACCCTGTTTCTCCAATAAGGTCCATTTTCTACATAATGCTACTTATATGAGGTTTAACTAAAATGTCAGGAAATTTATATTACCTCATGATTTAAGTTCTTGGGTCTAGTACATCTTCTTATACGTATTATGTAATAGCAAATATTAGAATGAGTTTTTCAACTAGATTAATCTCCTGAATATCAGAAAAATATGTATAAAACAATATACCAAATGATGCCGATATGCATTATTTCTCATTTGTAATTTAGAGCATTCTTGTTTGAACATAGATTCTCTTATGATCAAAATGAAAAGCATACAATCGGCATCTTTCCCCCAAATAACTTGTTTTTCCCTATGCCTGTCTACTTAAAGTCAAAAATCAACTTCAGTCTTTCTATGAAACATAGTCATAGCAAAAACCTATGTGCTAGACAAGCTAAAAGCTTTGTGTATAGAACTATACAAAAGGATTTGCAAATAGAAGAGCTAAAGCTACTACTAGTCCATAGATAGTCAAAGCTTCCATGAAAGCCAAACTAAGTAACAAAGTGCCTCGGATCTTACCTTCGGCTTCTGGTTGTCTTGCAATACCTTCTACAGCTTGTCCAGCAGCAGTTCCTTGTCCAATACCAGGACCAATGGAAGCTAGACCTACAGCCAACCCAGCAGCGATCACGGAAGCAGCAGAGATCAAAGGGTTCATTACTTTTCTCCTTCAAATAAGACCAAGGAGGCTGTGTATTCTACAAGTCTCCCCGTGTATGCCTAAATGTACAAACATTTTAGCAATTAGTAACTCATGATGTCTCTTGGGTGTGATAGTAGCACCAAAAAGCAATGTCAATAAACGTTTATCTTATCATACCATGTAGAACACAGTTCTACCAATTAAAGAAAAACATTTATAACTTAAACTGTCTCTAAAAAATACATAATACATATCATATAATGTATTTCTTTGCAGCTTTTGATAACAGCAACTTGAGTATTTTCTAAGATAATTAGACAATTCTCATACAGAGACAGCTAAGCTTAGAATAGGAGAATCCTATTCTAATTCTTACAAAAAATCAACTAATTATCTATATCTTTTTGTTGAAAAGATATACACAGAAGATCGTTTCTCTTGATAAAACATGATGATAATAATCATCATGAACTAAAGAAAATAGAAATAATACATTTATTTATGTGCTTGCTGTAACAGGGAAATACAAATTGTTTTTTTGATTTAGTTTCAAAAAAAATAAAGATGAACTAATTTTAGTTTCATGTTCCCTATTTTACAAATTTCTTCTAAAAGGTATTATAATCTATGTTTGCAAGTTGTCAACAATAAGAAGTTATATGTATATATTCCTTCTTCTAAGGAGATTGCAATGTTGTCAAATCCAACTTTCACTCTTTATATCAATAATTTTTTTGTATATCAGATAGAATAAATTCTATTCGAACCACAACAAATATGGGAGTAGACTACTCCCATATTTGTTTTACCAACTTGATTTAGTTACACCAGGTAATAAACAAGCATGTGCCATTTCACGCAATACATGTCTTGACAAGCCAAAGTCACGATAAACTGCTTTTGGTCTTCCTGTTACAAAACAACGACGAGTAATTCTATTAGGCGCACTATTTCGTGGCAAAGATTGCAATTCTCTATGCAATTGACATTTTTCATCAATTGATGAAACTGTCTTAATTTGTTCTTTTAATTCCTGACGACGCTCATAGTATTTAGATGCTAATCTTTCACGTTTCTTATCCCTTTCAATCATACTTTTTTTAGCCATATTGTTTATAAAAAATAAAAATAACGGAAGAAGCTTATATAGTGAATTTCAGGCTATCCCACCTCTTGAGAGGTGGGATAGCCTAAAAAACTTACTATTTTCTTAATATCTCAAAAATAGATTTTTACAAAATAGTAAGCAGTTATGATGTTGACATATCCTTAACCGAATTTACCTGAGGTAGATGCAATTAGGAAAGCAGCATAGGTAAATACATAACCTACAGAGAAATGAGCTAATCCTACTAATCTAGCTTGCACAATAGAAAGAGCTACTGGTTTATCTTTCCAACGCACAAGATTAGCTAATGGAGTACGTTCATGAGCCCAAGCTAATGTCTCGATCAATTCTTGCCAATAACCACGCCAAGAGATCAAGAACATGAAACCTGTAGCCCAAACAAGGTGTCCAAATAAGAACATCCAAGCCCATACAGACAAACTGTTCATACCGAATGGGTTGTATCCATTAATTAACTGAGATGAGTTTAACCATAGATAATCTCTAAGCCAGCCCATTAAGTAAGTAGAAGATTCATTAAATTGCGCTGCATTACCTTGCCATAAAGCTAAGTGTTTCCAATGCCAGTAGAAGGTTACCCATCCAATAGTATTTAACATCCAGAAAACAGCTAGATAAACAGCATCATAAGCAGAAATATCGCAAGTTCCACCTCTACCTGGACCGTCACAAGGGAAGCTGAATCCAAATTCCTTTTTGTCAGGCATTAATTTAGATCCACGAGCATCTAAAGCACCTTTCACAAGAATCAAGGTTGTTGTATGCAAACCTAGAGCAATTGCATGGTGTACTAAGAAATCCCCTGGGCCAATAGTCAAGAATAAAGAATTACTATTGTTATTAATAGCATCTAACCACCCTGGTAACCATAGACTTTTTCCTGCAGTAATAGTAATGCTAGAACTGGAAGAAAGTAATACATCAAATCCATATAAAGCCTTACCATGAGTAGATTGAATCCACTGAGCAAAAACAGGTTCAATTAGGATTTGTTTTTCTGGAGTACCAAAAGCCAGTACAACATCATTATGTACGTATAGACCAAGTGTATGGAAGCCCAAGAATAAGCTAGCCCAACTTAGGTGAGAAATAATAGCTTCTTTGTGTTCCAACATTCTAGCCAATACATTTCCTTTGTTTTGCTCTGGATTGTAATCTCTGATAAAGAAAATTGCACCATGAGCAAAAGCTCCTGTCATGATGAAGCCAGCAATATACTGATGGTGAGTATAAAGTGCTGCTTGAGTAGTAAAATCTTGAGCTATGAATGCATAAGAAGGTAAGGAATAGCTGTGCTGAGCTACCAAAGAAGTGATAACACCTAAACACGCTAATGCTAATCCTAATTGGAAATGAAGAGAATTATTCACTGTGTCAAATAGGCCTTGGTGACCGCCGCCCATACGACCGCTTGGAGCAATATGTGCTTCCATAATCTCTTTCATACTATGTCCAATTCCAAAGTTGGTACGATACATATGTCCAGCAACGATGAATATTACAGCCAATTGCTAGATGGTGATGAGCTATATCGCTTAACCAAAGACTTTGTGTCTGTGGATGAAAACCGCCTAAGAAAGTTAAGATAGCAGTACCAGCTCCTTCTGAAGTACCAAAGATATGGCTGCTAGAATCTGGATTTTGTGCATAAACACCCCATTGGCCAGCAAAGAAAGGTGCTAAACCTTGTGGATGTGGAGCAGTAGTTAAGAAATTATCCCATCCTACATGCTGTCCTCTAGATTCAGGAATAGCTACGTGTACGATATGTCCAGCCCAAGCCAAAGAACTGGTTCCAAATAAACCAGCTAAATGGTGGTTTAAACGAGACTCAGCATTTTTGAACCAAGAAACACTAGGTTTCCACTTAGGTTGTAGATGTAACCATCCACCTACTAAAGAAACAGCAGCTAATCCTAATAGGAAAAGTGCTCCTGTGTAAAGATCTTGGTTAGAACGTAGACCTTGAGTATACCACCATTGATATACACCGGAATAGGAAATATTTACAGGACCAGAAGCGCCTCCTCGAGTATAAGCTTCTACTGCTGGTTGTCCAAAATGGAGGATCCCAAATTGCATGTGCGATAGGACGAAACATGCAAAGGATCTTGAGACCACGCTTCAAAATTGCCCTGCCATGCTACGTGAAACAAATTCCCAGAGGTCCACAAGAAGATAATTGCTAACTGACCAAAATGAGAAGCAAAAATCTTCTGATAAAGCCGTTCTTCGGTGATATCATCATGACTTTCGAAGTCGTGTGCAGTAGCAATTCCAAACCAAATACGGCGAGTGGTTGGGTCTTGGGATAGGCCCTGGCTAAATTTTGGAAATCTTGATGCCATAATGCTTTAAAACCCCTCCTAGCCATTATCCTACTGAAATAATTCTTGCTAGGAAGAATGCCCATGTTGTGGCAATCCCACCCAGAAGGTAATGAGCTACTCCTACAGCACGCCCTTGAGTAATACTAAGAGCTCGAGGCTGGATAGCAGGAGCAACTTTAAGCTTATTATGAGCCCATAGAATGGATTCAATTAGTTCTTGCCAATAACCACGGCCACTAAACAAGAACATCAAGCTAAATGCCCATACGAAGTGAGCACCTAAGAAAACTAAACCATATGCAGATAAAGCAGATCCATAAGATTGAATTACTTGAGATGCTTGTGCCCATAAGAAATCACGCAACCATCCATTAATGGTAGTTGCACTTTGAGCAAAGTTCCCTCCAGTAATATGAGATACTCCTTGAGCATTTACAGTTCCCCATACATCTGATTGCATCTTCCAACTAAAATGGAAAAATTACTACAGAAATAGAGTTATACATCCAGAATAGACCCAAGAATACATGGTCCCAAGCAGAAACTTGGCAAGTACCACCACGTCCTGGACCATCACAAGGGAAGCGGAAGCCTAAATTAGCTTTATCTGGGATTAGTCGAGAACTACGGAGCAAATAATACACCCTTCAAAAGAATCAAAACAGTAACGTGAATAGTAAATGCATGAATATGGTGCACTAGGAAATCAGCTGTTCCTAATGGAATAGGAGACATTGCTACTTTCCCACCTACTGCTACTAATTCACTACCACCCCAAGTGATACTGCTAGCGGCAGCTGCATTAGGTGCTGTGAAACCAGGTGCTGCAGCGTTAGTATTTTGAACCCATTGGAGCAAACACAGGCTGAAGTTTGAATAGCTGTGTCAGAGAACATATCTTGAGGACGACCTAAGGCACTCATAGTATCGTTATGAATATACAAACCAAAACTATGGAATCCTAGGAAGATACATACCCAGTTAAGATGAGAAATAATTGCATCTCTATGACCGTAGAACACGATCTAATAGATTGTTATACTGAGTAGTTGGATCGTAATCTCTTACCAAATAGATAGCTGCATGAGCACCAGCCCCTACAACGCAGAATCCACCAATCCACATGTGGGTGTGTGAATAAGGATAACTGAGTACCATAATCAGTTGCTAAATATGGGTAAGGAGGCATAGCATACATATGATGTGCTATGATAATTGTTAAAGATCCAAAAGTAGCTAAGTTTAATGCTAATTGAGCATGCCAAGAAGTGGTCAAAATTTCATAAAGTCCTTTGTGACCTTCACCAGTCATAGGCCCTTTGTGAGCTTCTAACATTTCTTTCATGCTATGACCAATTCCCCAGTTAGTTCTATACATATGTCCTGCTACTAGGAAAAGGACTGCAATTGCTACGTGGTGGTGAACTGTATCAGTTAACCATAAACCTCCTGTAACTGGATTTAGACCGCCACGGAAAGTTAAGAAATCAGAATACTCTGCCCAGTTTAAGGTAAAGAAAGGAGTTACACCTTTCGCAAAGCTAGGATATAACTGAGCTAATAAGTCTCTGTTAAATATAAATTCGTGAGGCAAAGGAATTTCTTTAGGGTCAACTCCTGCATCTAACAATTGGTTGATAGGCAAAGATACATGAATTTGGTGTCCAGCCCAACCCAAAGATCCTAAGCCTATTAGACCGCCTAAATGGTGGTTCATCATAGATTCTGCATCTTGGAACCAAGCCAATTTAGGTGCAGCTTTTATGATAATGGAACCAACCAGCGAATAAACATTAAGCCTGCCATTAATAAACCCACCAATTGCAGTGGAATATAACTCTAGTTCAGTAGTGATTCCAGAAGAACGCCACATTTGGAATAAACCAGAGGTAATTTGAACTCCCTGGAATCCACCACCTACGTCGCGTTCAAAATTTCTTGACCTACAATTGGGCCAAACAACTTGAGCACTAGGTTTGATGTGGGTTGGAATCACTTAACCATGCTTCATAATTGGAAAAAGCGTGCACCATGAAAATACATTCCGCTTAACCAAATGAATATGACAGCTAATTGACCAAAGTGTGCACTAAAAACCTTACGAGAAATTTCTTCTAGATCACTAGTGTGGCTATCAAAATCGTGAACATCAGCATGCAGGTTCCAAATCCAAGTGGTTGTAGTAGGACCTTTTGCTAACGCACGAGAGAAATGACCTGGCTTAGCCCATTTTTCAAAAGAGGTTTTTACAGGATCATTGTCTACCACAATCTTGACTTCTGGTTCCGGTGAAGAATAGTCATTGAGATTCTTCCTCTCTTCAGACGAGACAAAGGAAACACCTGCCCAAAATCATGAATCAGCTTCTGAGAGGGTAATATTTTAGAATTGCTACCCACTTTATTAAGTCTGTAACTAGAACAACTATGATACAGAAGTGACCCAGGACAGACTCCTAAATATATTATGACACACATTTAAGGTGCTTAATGGACCAATACATAAATAAGTGAAAGTTAGGAATTTAACCTGTATATTTACTAGGCAAGTAATAAAAAATGCGAAGTGAAGCAAATAATGGAAACTTTGCTATATTTTATATATTTTTATTTTATATCAAACATAAAGGACATTCTGATCAATTTGTTCGCCATACAACATACAAAAAAGAGAAAATATAGCAAACTACAACCGTGCGCAGGATTCCTGCGCACAGTTGTTATATATGCAGCTTGCCTCTAAAACCAAGATTGTTTAGCCAACGAAAGGAGCTTCAACAGATGCTAAGTCTAGAGGGAAGTTGTGAGCGTTACGCTCGTGCATAACTTCCATACCTAGGTTAGCACGGTTGATGATATCAGCCCAAGTGTTGATTACACGACCTTGGCTATCAACTACGGATTGGTTGAAGTTGAAACCGTTTAGGTTGAATGCCATAGTACTGATACCTAAAGCAGTAAACCAAATACCTACTACAGGCCAAGCAGCCAAGAAGAAGTGTAGAGAACGAGAGTTGTTGAAACTAGCATATTGGAAGATTAGACGTCCAAAGTAGCCGTGAGCTGCAACAATGTTGTAAGTTTCTACTTCTTGACCAAACTTGTAACCAGCGTTAGCAGATTCGTTTTCGGTGGTTTCACGGATCAAGCTGGAGGTAACCAAGGAACCATGCATTGCACTGAATAGAGAGCCGCCGAAAACACCAGCCACACCTAGCATATGGAATGGGTGCATAAGGATGTTGTGCTCAGCTTGGAATACGATCATGAAGTTGAAAGTACCAGAGATACCTAAAGGCATACCGTCAGAGAAACTTCCTTGTCCGATTGGGTAGATTAGGAATACTGCGGTAGCAGCTGCAACAGGAGCAGAGTATGCAACAGCGATCCAAGGACGCATACCTAGACGGAAGCTAAGTTCCCATTCACGACCCATGTAAGAAGCTACACCTAAAAGGAAGTGAAGAACGATTAGTTGGTAAGGACCACCATTGTATAACCATTCATCAACGGAAGCAGCTTCCCAGATAGGGTAGAAGTGCATACCGATTGCTGCAGAAGTAGGAACGATAGCACCAGAAATGATGTTGTTTCCGTATAGAAGAGAACCAGAAACAGGCTCACGGATACCATCGATATCTACTGGAGGAGCTGCGATGAAACCAATGATGAATACAGAAGTTGCAGTTAGAAGAAGAGGTACCATCAATACGCCGAACCATCCGATGTAAAGACGGTTTTCGGTGCTGGTAATAAAGTCAGAGAAACGACCCCATAGGCTTGCGCTTTCGCGTCTTTCTAAAGTAGCAGTCATGGTAATTATTGGTTAATAAAGTAATAAAATATGACTCAAGCTGCTTATAAGCTTGTTAGTATATATTATTACACAGAGAGTGTCATATGTCAACCTGATTTTTTATTACAACTCTTTTTATCGATGGTATCTCTATACAATGTTCGAAAGAACTTCTTATAATAAAAAGGATTGCAAAATCAAATCCCTATGAAAATATAGACATCATTGATGTCTATGTGTTTATTTGTATAAAAGAATTCGAAAAAACACTTTGGTTTTTTCCAATTTACAGTTACTATAGTATCAGAGTTATGGATAGCAGCAAGGAAACTAGCTGCTTCTACCTATAAATTTTTGAAGAAAAATCAGACCATGCAAAAAAGAGATGCTTGTAAATGGATACGAAGATGGGTGGGGCTATCAATCTCAATCATAGTTATGGCTTTGCCAATGGCTTTGCCATTAAATTCGGAAGCATTTCCGATATTTGCACAGCAAAACTATGAAAGTCCTCGAGAAGCGACTGGACGCATTGTATGTGCTAATTGCCATTTGGCAAAAAAACCGGTGGATATCGAAGTGCCACAAGCAGTTCTTCCCAATACTGTTTTTGAAGCAGTAGTTAAGATTCCGTATGATACCCAAATTAAACAGGTATTAGCCAATGTTAAAAAAAAGGAATATCAATGTAGGCGCTGTGTGGTAATCTTACCGGGAAGGCTTTGAATTAAGCACCTGAAGATCGTATTCCTCCAGAAATGAAAGAAAAGATTAATAATCTTTACTTCCAAACTTACAGACCCGAGCAGAAAAATATTTTGGTAGTAGGTCCTGTACCTGGAAATAAATATAGTGAAATTGGTATTTCCTATTATTATCTCCCGATCCAGCTACTAACAAAGAAGCGTCTTTCTTAAAAATATCCAATCTATTTAGGTGGGAATAGAGGACGTGGGACAACTTTATCCTGATGGTAGCAAGAGTAATAATACAGTTTTTAGTGCTTCTGCCTTCAGGAACAATTAAGAAAGTTGTTCGTACTAATATCAAAAAAGGTGGTTACGATATAACCATTATTACAGCAGA